AAATTGACAGAAAATATAATCTCAGCTACACTTAGAAAATCATTTACTCCACATTTTCAGCCTTGTGCCGCATTTAATCTATGCTTAGAAATCATTTTGAACAATTCAACATGGTGTAATGATTAGTAAGCTTGTCTCACTAGATCAATTTCAAATGAATATTGAAACTGATTCTCACTGTGTCCTGCATAATTCCAGCATTGTGCCACACCTAAGCTATGCTTAGAAAATCACCTTGATTTTCAAATTCAGTGAAATTTGTCTTGTATAGATAGTATGTATTAAAGTATATAGATAAGCAATTTCCTATCTACATACTAGTGCATTGGATACTGTGTATAGAATCAAGTTTAAAATTTCAGTTAAGATGTAATAGAAATGAAATGTCCAGTGAGACATAGCAAATACTGGGTCACTTGATAGATGAAAAGATTGATCAATCTGTTCAAATACCTTGAAAATGTTCTTAGTACAATATACTGTCATATAAACCACACTTTTTCCCCTGTAAATTCAGAAACATATACCATGATATATTTTGAGAGTTCAGCATGAGTAGATTTTAAATACTGGCTCTTGATGGCCTCATAAGGTAATATATATAATTATAAATCAAAACATTGTTAAAAATAAACAATTATTGCATACAAGTGTTGACTTCTTCTGCTATCTTCTACCTTCACAATAACAAGAGCAGGCCCAAAACAGTACTGTTACTTTACATGGGCTGCCCAGTTTTCATTTTTCAGTTTCAATAGAGTCCAAAATTGTCTATGTGTCTTTGTGGGTGACAAATTATTTTCCACAATACAATCCCTTTTCTCACAGACAAAATGTTGCAAGCCTTTTACTGCTCTATTCTTATTTCGATGAAAAGTGATCCGATGATCTATACTCCTTAATTCCACCAGTATAAACCTTAAAGGCCTTGTTACTCACATTGTAGGGAACAACCTTCATACTCCATTGGTGAGATGTAAGTTCTACTTGAACAGCTTCTTACCATGAACTGCTGCTTTGTGAAACTAACACCATAGAGGATGCTTCCCAATCACTACAATCTTAACCTGTTCAAGGCTAGGGTTAACCATTATCTTCCCCACATATATTTTCCCCATAAACTGTACCTCTTACTTTGTAACCCTCTACCTCAAGTGGATTTGTAAAAAAAAAAAGGTGTATATTAGGGATATGGCAGTAATGATTGAACCTACCTGGCAAAGCTGGCAATGACCTATAATATTTTGCTTTGTTGCAGATAGCAGCTGAGCAACTGGTAAAATGGGATCTGACATAAAGATGCATAAAAAGTTGAGATTATATTACTGAAATTCTCTTGATGGAAAACCTTGCACTGATTGACATTTATCAACATTTACTGAATGTTCATGGAGACCAAACAGTAAATGTGAACAAAGATGGAGGTTAATACATTTCAGCAATGGCAAAAGCAATGTGCACGACAGGCCTCCTACATTTGCTGTTCTAAGCATGGTAAGTGGGAGTATAGTTTATCACTTAAAAGTATGTCACCAATCATAGTGAATATAAAGCAAAATAGTGTTTCACAGCTGATAACATACTCTAGCAACTGGTGTTGTTGTACACACTCTGTTAGGCCATATTTTTTCAGAAATGACACATCCCTTCAAGATGTAAGTCATCATGGCTCTCCATTTCCTTATTATCTGTAAATTGATCTACCTTATTTAGAAAGATAGTAGAATGGTATCTCTCTTGAAATATAGTTGCCAGGGAAACAAATAGGAGGCATTACTTTTCAGACCATCATTGTATATGCACGCATATATATATATATGAATGTAAACAAAAGGAAAACTTAGCTAAGCTGATGTGTTTCATTCTCTGGTGGACTTTATCAAAGAAAATTTGTCTTGATAAAGTTCATCAGAGGCTGAAACACATCAGTTAATATAACTTTTCCTTTTGACTTTATTTATATTGTCCTTTTCCAGATACATTTTTAGTTAAATTATATATATATATATATATATTTATATGAATTGGTATCAAGTACAGATCAAATATGGATCAGAATCCAACAAAAGATGAAGAACAAACAGGAAATATTATCAATCTAATTTATATATATATATATATATATATATATATATATATATTATTTATAAAGTGAAACTTATTTAGAATGATAAATTTTTCTTTATCATTTATATATATATATATATATATATATATATATATATATATATATATATATATATATATATATATATATATATATATATATATATATATATAAATAAAGAAAAATAGGAAATTTATCAAATTTCAGTTTTTAAAACATTTGAATTGCTTTAATACTCAATATTATTCAAGTAGAATATTCTAGAATGTTTCAATAATGTTATCAGTAGTTATTTTTAGCCTTAACAAACAGACCATTCTGTAATTGATATTTTTGCAAGAAGGTTATCATCATGGCAAGAGGTAAAGAATTGACACATTGGCAAAAAAGAACTGGCTATTAAGCTCTGGAAAGAAAGTAAGTTACAGGCAAATCTCAAACAACCTGAACATTTCATTTACAAAGATTAGTTCATTCGTTGCAAGGTATAAAAGACTTAAAACAGTTGAAAACTAAAGAAGAACACAAAAGATTTCTTTAAGATCTTCAAGGAAATTAATGTGTCAAATTAAACAAAATCCAATGGTTACTCAAAAAGAGTTGCAGGATGATTTGCTTTCATCAGGAATCTGTGTCACTAAATGGACAATAAGCAATGAAATTCATAGGAATACTCTAAATTCATGCTCCCCTCGGAAAACTCCACTGCTATAGAAAAACACAGAGATTCCAGATTGAAAGTCATCCATGGACATAAGGATAAAATCATATTGGGAAAGTGTATTATGGATGGATGAAACCAAAATTCAGTTGTTTGGATGTAATTCTAGAAATCATGTATAGTGGAAAGATAGTGATACCTCCAAACAAAAGAACACAGTTCCACCAGTATATATATATATATATATATATATATATATATATATATATATAATAATAGTAGTATTTGTTTGGAAAACTTCGGATAGATCAACTTGCAGATATGTCAGGACAAATCAGTATCCAAGGAAAAAATTGGAAATAAAAAAAAGAAAGAACTAAAAACATCAGAACAAGATGAAACAAATCACAAAGTGCTGTAAGTCCTTAGTCCAAAGAAAAAATAACAAAAAGAGTAGAAAAACTGAAACATAGAGTGCTCAATAATGCTAAGTAGAGTGATAAACTAGAATAAATCCTTAGGATTTATTCTAGTATATATATATATATATATAATGAAAATCTATGACAAAGTGAAAAGATAGATACATATATATATTGCACACTCATACACATTAAAAAATCGTATTACTGAACAAATACAAATATTTTATGTTGATGTCTATCCATGTGTGCTTGCCTGTGGATAAAAAATATTTAAACAATTATTAATAAGTATAAAGATATGTACTAATATGTGTATGTATGTGTGTGTATATATATATATATATATATAAAGGAGGATGTGTGTGTGTGTGTAATGAATGCACGGCCACAATTTTCGACGGATTTGCACCAAAATTTACATGCACATGCTCCAAGTTAGTAGAAAGGCCAAGACTGACTTTGTATTTCCCAACTCCTATCAATAGTGGAAATAATCGATTTTTCATGCTTCTACAGCAGTTTTAATGTAGTTTACAGCCATTTTCTACTTGCCAGAGTGAGAGCCTATAGCTGGCTGCCACGAATAGGCAGGAAGATTCTATTGACCAGCGTGAGAGCCAACAGCTGACTGACACGAATGTTAACTAGCATGCTAGCCTGCAAAAAAAAAATTGATAGCTGCATTCATCACAAGTGGGAAAAAATTAAATCTGCATGGCACTTTATTCCATTTGGCTCATTCGCTTGCTTAAACTCAACATTGATTCTGATTAACAGAACTGGGTTGGTGTGAAAAAAGTATTTGTTGTTAACATTCTTTTTTTCATTCAGTTTTTCCAGTTATGAGTCCTTTTTAAAGCTGATTGGTTTGTGTTCATTTTGTTTAGTTCATTTTTCGTAACAGATTTAATTTTTAGTATAGAGCTTAGATAAATTTCGCAGTGTGAGATAGGCAAGAAGTAAGGCTTGTAGCAACATCAGCACGGTAAAGGGCACTCCTTTAAAGGCAAGGAAGGCCAAAAATATTTTAAGTCAAGTTGCTGTATGAGTTTTTGAATCAAGCATGGGCAACGCCAGGCCATGCTGTTAGTATATATACATATATGTGTGTATGTGTGTGTGTCTGTATGTCTGTATCTACATAGATTCACTCAAACATCCACACACAAAACCCTACACACATACAATTGTATTTCATGTGTATATGAAATCTCACATGTCAACCTAATTTTAAGTTTTAAATCTTAGCCATTCTTCAGATGACATTCCAAAATTTGGTTTAAATAGGTTATCTTGAAGATAAATGTAAAAAGAAAAATGAACAATATTATTTCATTGATAATTCCTCAAAGAAAGTCTGGTATCTCAGGAAAGAACACATTTCATTTGAGAAAAGAAAAACTTAGTTAAAATAAATCAGAAAAAACATGAATGAGCGAAAAAAAATCTGATATTGTGTATTTCTTCTGCTTAGTTGATTTTTCCCTCAATATATTTATTTATTCACCTTATTGTCCAGATGGTCGTCACTCTGAACAGGGGGGGTGGGCATAGGTTTTTGAAATTCCCCACACTTGCATTTCTGCTTCAATGCTTAACCAAGTGAGCCATTTTGTTCAATCTTTCATCCATCCTTATGCAGGAACCTGAAAATGCATAACCCTGTGCATATTCACATGACAGATTGTTAACATGTTTGTGTTTCTTCACATTCTATTGTTATAGGTTTATTGGTTTATTCACAGCCCTTTCACATGGTTGGACGCTTGCTGATGAAGCAAGTTTCGAGGTGGCAAAAGACTCTGCAATGCTCTTCACTCCCCACTGCCACAAGCTCTGCAGCTTGCTGGGCCATTTACCCTCAAGGCAGAACACAAGGACAGAAATAAAAAGAAGATGTGAAGATGTGAAAAGATGTATAAGGTTTAATGCAAACATCTGTATGTTGTACTTGCATCAGTGAATATTGGTAAGAGACAAAATGGAAGAAAAAACAATAAAAGAAGATGGAGATTTTTTTAAACAAATATTTAACAATTTACAAGATTCTTGGCCTTGAGTCAAGTTAAACTAAATAACTTTCTGACAGGGTCATGTGAAGTAAAAATAAAAATTAATAGGGAAATAACTCACCTGAGAGTTGAAATAATCACAGACAATTCTTTCTTCTTTGTAAGTCTTTTCATAGCAATCATCTCTGCCCACTACTTCCTGCCTTTTGCAATATCTAACCCTTTACCATCTCCTGTCATTCCTATTCTGCCTTTTACAAAAAAAACATTAAGTAGATTACTTGTTATTTCCCTTTCTTCTCTTGACTTTCACTATGTATTAAATTCTCTAAGCTCTCTTTCTTCATTATGGGTCCTAGAAATTTTCACTATTTCTGATTGTAAATATTTGTTTCTTCATACTTCCTAAATTTCCTTGAAACTTCCTCACTGTTCACATGTTCTTTCCATGGTATTCTCAGCAGCCATTACTACGACTACATCTCTATCTCTTCTTTACCAGTGAAGTTTTTATTCTGCATTCACTGCCATGTAGCAGATTAGATATTACATACCATTTCAGCACTCTTTTCTAAAATATATCTAAGGATATTTTTCTATCTCTTAATACTTGTCTGAGATGAGGTATGATTGTTCAGACTATTGTCCTCATCTTTATTGCTATAATTCACGATGTTTCAGCTGTTGTATGCTCCAACCTTCTTTAAGATATTTCTAGATTTCTGAAATGAGGTATTGTCATTATTTACATTGTTCAGACTGTTGTCCTCATCTTTATTGCCATATTCACAACATTTCAGCCATTGTACACTCTGGCCTTCTTCAGGTGATATACATTGGAATTTCAACCCAAACCCTTTATTTTGTCCACTGGGGTAGACTGTTCTTGTGACATGTGCCATGCCTTTTCTGGATATCTTGGTTTCAGTTTGGTAACTCAACTCTCCAAGTTTTTCTTCAACTCTGTTGTGCCAGGTATTGAACTCACAACACTTTTGGGTCAAGTCACTGGATTACTTCAACCAACACTTTTATCCACTGGGCCATGTGTCTTAATACTTTGCTTAGATTCTGAGAAAGGTTTTACTCTTCCTATATACATTTAGATTTATGTTACCACTTCCATTTTAAAAGTTTCTTTCTTGCACTTCTCGCTTGTCAAACTAACTTCCAATTTCTTGCTTCCCTCCCACCTTTAAAAATTTAAATACAACATCAATTGCCATCTTTTGTTTTCCTGGTCCTTTCCTTACTTTTCTTAACTAGTTTTCTCATTCTCTTTTACTCTGTGTAATCCACTGCAACCTATCTGTTACTACACTAATCAGATAGGTGAATTTCTGCATCTGGTTGATTTTGACATACCTAATATGCAGCACACTTGACTTTGTTTTTATCTGTATACAAGCTGTTTGTTCCCAGTAAATGTTATAGATTACCTGACTATCTTTCCTCTGTATATCAAGATTTTCTAAGAGTTCTAAAAAGGATCATTGTGTCATACTTTATCAAATGCTTTTGTGTAATCTATAGTCTTTCTGCATCTATATTGATCTGATAGCAATTGCACTATTACAAAGCAATAAAAACTGTAATGAAAAATTTGAAGTCGAGAGGTGCCTTTGATTAACCATGAAACTCCATAGATGAAATAGTTAGGATATCATCCATAAAAAAAAGCTGTCAAGGATATAGAAATGAGTTCAAATCTCATCAGAATCTATATAGTTATTCTTCAGTGTTGGAGGGCATTTGGCCTGGAATGTTGTGATAAAATCAGCAATAAAAGGAAAAAAAATTAGTCATTAAGGAAAATACTTTCTCACAGAGTTCATATAATTCAGGCTCAATATATAAATAATTGACTTGAAGATATAATCACCTGAAGATAGGTGGAGAACAGGCAAGAAAAATAATTGTGATAAAGACACAAATCAAAAAACAAAAAAATATCAAGGAATGATAATAATATCACAAAACTGCAAATGTCTATTTTGTGAGACTTTGTCTCTGTCGCATATGTATGTATGTTTAGTTATAAAGAATTTATGGATGTTTGTAACTTTTTAATACTTCAAATATTATTACAGAAGGTACTCATATTTAAAACAGACACCCAATTTTTACTTTTAATTTAAACAGTGTATATTACATCTGGCATTACTGAGTAAAGAAAATGTGCTCTCTGGCAGGAATCTAAACCCACATCTCCCTTTGTAGAAGAAAATACCATTTCATCCAGTGTGCTTTACCACTCAGCCATGAAGGATGTCACAGTTCAGCAAGACTATTTCCTCCTTTTACTATCTTAGTGAGAAAGTGTGTTTTCCTTAGGGATAGGGAAAATAGAGCTTTCCTGAACTGTGATTCTCTTTGCGTCTGAGCTGTAAAACACACCGTATCAAATGATGCAAAGAGGGACACAGGTTTGATTCTTGCTGGAGAGTACATCTGATTTTCTTTATAATGATTCCTTAAATTAGCTTGACTATGGCCATAATACATGCTGCTTAAAGTAAAATAAGAAATTGGGAATGTGTTTCAAATACTTCTGTCCAATCTAATAGAATTTGAAGTAATATTCACCCTTATGCAAATTAATTGAAACAAAACAAATAATTCCATTATTATTTACTTTCTTTTCATATTTTTCCAATGAAACCTGACCCATTGCACATGTTAGTACTTCATATGTCCATTCCACAAAGTCTTTCCTTGCAGACTGACCACAGATTCTCAATTGGATTTAAATCAGGAGAGTTTCCAAGCCAGTCAATAGTACTTTGATTTGCTCACTGGTAAGGCTTGCCATTGTGTTCATGTAGCATTATAATTTTTGTATACTTCCTTGGAGCAATCACAGACAATGGCTGTAGGACAACTAATCGACAGTCAAGACAATATTGTCTTTGTGTGAGGAAATCTGATGTAATCATGGATGACACAATATTTTTCAAGGCCAAAGAAATTTCATCATACACACCCAAAATAAATTCATGTTACTGCACACTACTCAAATGACCTAATCTCAAGAAAAAATAGAAATTTTGTCACTGACCTTAAGGTGAAAGAAAGGAACTAAAATCGTTGTTTCAATTAATTTGCACAAAGGTGTATATATATATATATATATATATATATATATATATATATATATATATAAAATCATGTAAGGTGTGTTTAGTGAGACTTTATGAAAGTCATTTTATAATATCTATATTGAGTGAGGCTTTAGAAGAATCATTCATAGTTACATAAATATAAATTGAAAGAGAAATAAAATAGTGTATATAAACATTTTTCTCAGTATAAAATCTAGTTTTTTGCAAGCAACACCAAATCAGTTTATTTTCAATAAATATAAATGAATTTCTAACCAGAACCTTACAAAAACCCAACCAAATTTAAAAAAAAAATACAAACAATGAACATTTACTGTTTACTTTTAGATTCTTTAAAATTTTTCAGTCATCCAAATTCTTTTGAGACTGCAATCATTCTTTCAGTAACTGCAAACTTTTGCTATTCACTTTCATGACAGCTACAAGATTCTTTTTGGTAGAAGTAAGGTTAAGTTAATTTTCATGCCACCTGTTAAATCCTTTGTTTTTTTTTTTTTTAATAAACAAAACAAGTTTTTCCAACACAAGCACAATGCTAAATGTGGTATATACAGTTACTTCATCAATGAGTATGTCATACAACTCCACAAAAAGAAGCATATATTTATGTTACTGCACAGCTTGTATGATGTGCCCAACTTGTATGAAAATGTCAATAAAATACAAGACCAGGTGCATTTTCAATACTATTTAGTTCCATCAAGAATAGTATGATTGCTCTTTTCAGAGTGAAACAATCAGCTGCAAAAATCTCTTTATGTACATGAGAATTTAGAGTTCTGTATAAGTGGGTGGAAATTTTAGTTCAATCTTAAGAATTTTATAGAAAATGATTATGCAACTGATATCAACTCAATAGAAATGGCAAATAAAATCAAATGCCAGTTAAGACCAGTGCCATCTGGTGTCCTCCAAGTACAACTGCTTCATTCTCGATTATTACTCATCTTGTGCTAAATCTTATCACTGCCCCCTTTGAATGCCTCTTCATTGTAGATGCGTATTGGATATTATCTGTTTTGAAAGTCAATCCTCATACAATCATTACCAAGCCTATCTCACAGGCCATTGCTAGTAAACTGAATTTTCATGAAAAACCCCATTATCATGGCAATGTGCCAGAATATTATTTCTAAGCATCAATCGATCAGTCTACCTGCTACAGTGTTTATTATTTGTCATGTTCAGTCTAATCATTTCTATCATCAAACGTTCTAGTATAACCTGTCTGTAAATATTTACCTATCCATCTTTGTGTTTATGTTTTTTATATATATGCAGACATGGTGGAAGTAATGGATTGTAGCTCAGTTTGAAGAATCAAAGAGTTCAAATTCCAGTCAAGTTCATTACATTCATTTATGTGCTAATACCCTTGGAAAATGTATAAATCTCTTCTCCCCTAAGCTATGGGTAAATAGAAGGACAGACTGGGTTCTATAGCCTGTCTAGAAGAAGGAAAATTCCAAATTCAAACAAGACTTGAGAGGTCTGAACTCTATCAGGCTATCTTGCCCAAAACTATTATAGCTGTAGTACATGTAGTGCTCTTATGACTCTAATGAGTTACAGGACTTGTGATCATGATATGTACCTGTAGTCATATACCTATCTGTTTATATCACATGTGTAAAGGCTGATCACTAAGCAGTCAAAATTCGTATCTTGTGACACTTTTTAAAATTTTGGCTATCCAATTTCACTCATAAAACTTGGGTCAACATATATATTTTGTTCAGGCACTTCTCAGTAGTTTTGCATGCTGGGATTGTCTTCCCAGATAGATATTATCAAGTAGCCACCTCTTTGACAAACTGACTATAGTGAGAATCAAACACAGGACTCATTGTCAGAACTTTCATGCTCTAACCACATGGCCACATGCCCATATCTATCTCTTGTCATATCTGTCTGTAGAACAGAGAAAAAGAGACAGCTATGAACTATATCTGTATCACTCAAGTCATGTGTATCTATTTCATCTATTATATATCTACGCATCTGTTTGTTCTTTTTTATCTCTCTCAGTCTGTTCATATCTATGCATAAGAGATGAAAGATCTAGTAATAAGAATCATTATAATGGTCTTCAGAATGTTGTACCCTTTGAATTGTAAATCTAATGTACATAAATGTGTTATATATTTGTGTGTAAATTAACTATGAGCAAACAATGGCCAACTGAATTGGCATATTTAAAAATGTAGTAAAAAGTAGAATCAGCCTGGAACAGATTTTTTTTTATTGTCTCCAAGTGATTGCTACTGGGTGACTGTATTAGCTTGTAATCCACAAGAACTTGATATTATTCACAGGTCTTCCCTTCTATCTAAGTTCACATAAAAAGAGACCTTTGCTTGACCAGGTTCTGATGTTATCTATAAACAAAACCTCTACAAGTGCAATGACAGATTTAACAATATGTTCATCCAGTGTATTTTATGCTACAATGAAAAAATCTGTGCCTAGAATTTTACAAAATTCTATTCAATATTTCTTTCATCCCTCTTCACTTTTTCATTTTCTTTTTTATTTGAAAATTTATTTTATTTCTTCTGATGGTAATTTTTTTTTAATTTTCAATTTTTCTTTTTTTCAGCTTTGCCATATTTTTTCACTGTCAAAATATTTTGGTTTAATTTTCTAAACTTTTTGCATTTTTGTTTTCCTTTCATAATTTCTTTCAATTTTTTCTTTCTTTCTTCTTTTATTTCTTTTTCATTTTCATGTCTCCTTCACTTCTTTTTTGTGTCTCCTTTCTTTCTCCTTTCACTTCCTTTTTATTTTATTTTAAAATGTCCCTTCTTCCCCCCCTACTTGCTGTTTATTTTATTTTTTCATGTCTCCTTTCCTTCTTATGTCACTCCTTTCTTATTTCCCTTTTTCCATTTATTTCCTTTTAATTTTCTTTCTCTCCTTCTTTTATATACTTTTTTTTTTATCTTTTTAAGCCAGAAAAGTTTTTATCTTCTTAAGTCTTTATTCCTAAATTGCTCGTATTTCTTTTCTCTAAGACTTTTTATGCATTTTTTAAAACATTTAAAATATTTTTTTTCCAAATAATTTTTTCAGCTTTGCAGATGCATTGAAAAAGCAAAAAAAAAAAACACTCTTAACCAAAAGAATAGAAAAATAGTAGAAAATTCAAATAAAATATTACACCATAATGTTCTTCTGTATTGTCATAGATGGGACACTGATGCATCTAATTGTTTACTTGATTAGATTTTAAGGTTGGATATTGTAACTCTTCACATAGCTGAGGTGAGGTTAGTATCCTTTCTTTATTATAATAGATTGCATGCTGAGGTCCCAACACATCTGTAAATGTATTGTTGCAGGCATTCAAAACAAAATAACAGTCTCTTGGGGAGGGATAAAAGTGAATTCAATTTCAATATTTAAGTAGACTGTATTGAAAATTATATATATATATATATATATATATATATATATATATATTATTTTTTACTCACATAAAGGATGATGAAAGGTTCTAAGCTTGACTAATATCCAAAAATCTGACTAAAACCAAAATTTTGAGGAGAATCTTTTCTTGGTTGAGTTGAAAACTTTCACAGCACCATTCATATTTTATGCGTGTCTGATTGAAGATATTTTTTTCCTTTGTTCAGACCATTTACCTGGTTTTCTGGGGGAGAATTTGAACATAAATAGTCTAATGACTTTGAAGTGTTTCCGCCTTTCATAAGTCTTTAACAAACAATCTAAAAATCAATTTTGATCAGATCAGTACATTCAAAATAGTGTTGAACAGTTTTACAAAATGTCTTCTACTTATGAAAAGGAGCTGCAGAATGCATTTGCACCCAATGGCAGTTTTTCTGACAGATTACTATAGCTGTTTGTTCAAGAGTTGAACAAAGGCACATATCTTTCAAAGATGAAGCACAATCTGATGGAAAGTAAAGAGATTATAAAATAGAATGATTGGCCATTTGGCAGAACAACTTATTGGCATAAATTATAGTAAAAACAGATTAGACACAGATGGGCAAATGGATAAAACATTTGATTTCTTTCTCCATATCATTTTCTTTCTTTCTTCTGATTTTCTTTTTTCTATGTTTTTGTCACCACTTCCAACTTTTCTTTAATTTTTTTCAAGAGATTTTAAAAATTCACCTCTGAGATATGCATTAGAACCAACCTTAAAAAAGGTTTTCTTCTGGTTTTGGTTTTTTCAGCTTCAAACAAATCAGAAAAATAATGAACAAGGTTGTAAGATGCGTTCAGATCTTATAAGAAGCTATACTTATATTTCTGATCCCTGGTGCTTGTTTAATGATTGTAGAAGATAATAAAGACGTGAGCATTTTCTTAAAAATGCAATAAGAAAATGAAAGATCAACTTATCAAATATTAATAATGAAAATGCTTTAGCAAGAAATTCAAACATTTTTTTATTCATATTTTATATTAGCACAATTTCTGAAATAAAATAAATGCCATTTTGTCAAAGTCAGTGTTTCATGCAATGTTTACAATATTCATTTTACCAACTCTGCTATCTTCATGAAATTAATTTTAACCATTGTCTCATATTCTGAGATGAATCAATTCATGGCTTAGTCAACTGAAATATTACAATAAAAACAACAAAGATAAAGATAATAATCTTGATATTCCTTAGATCAAACAATGTAAATCATTATTAATTTTGTACTATTATTTAATCTTATTTCTATTGCATTTTATTGTACATCTCAAGTTATTATTCTAATCAAAAAATTAATAATAACTGACAATTCTTCATATAAGAAAACTAAATACTGGCATAGAATACTGATGGAGAAAAAATAATAGAAATATATGACTTATGTGAACAATGCCTACTGACTGCCTAACTAGCAAGGCACAGTCATGGTAAGACAAGATTCCAAGATGATGTAAGTTCAAGTCATGTTGGAACTTTATTATTTCCAGCATATACTGTTGACTTAACAACTGTAGAATAACAAAGCTGTGATAAAAGTAAGATGAAGAAATCCTAATCAAAACTATAATAAAGATACTATTGGGTGCGATGGGTAAATTGTCGCCTTTTTATTTTTAATTTTGTGCATTTGTGTTGTTTTTGATCTTGTTGACAGCATAGTGTAGTAGGGTCAGTTGGGAACCATCTGTAATAAAGATTTGGGAAGAGTTGGATGTGTTTAATGGTGATTAGAATGGTAGAGCAGTTTTTAAAAATTACTCTGATAGTTCTGATAAGAAAAGAACTTCTGAATTTGTTGCTGAGAGTCTCAGACTCAATATGGAAGCCTACATCAAGAGCCTTGAGGAGATAGTGCTGCCCCTGGGTGAAGAGGGTGTCTGTTGGAAGAACTTATGTCTGGCAACAGGATGCTGCACCATACCACACAAGCAGGAGAACCCAGGCATGACTGTCAGACAATTTCTGCAACCATATCACACCTTACATCAGGCCACCTAACTCCCCAGACTGCAACCCCCTTGATTATTATGTGTGGGGTGCAGTTGAGTGAAGGACCAACAAAATTCCTTGTAACACCAGAGATGAACTGAAAGCAAGGATTATGGCAGCATTCACCAAATTAAACAAAGAGACCATCCAGCAGAGATGCAGAAGATTTTGAAGTTGTCTGGAGGACATGGTTGATGCCAATGGCAATTTTATTAAATAAATTTACTCTTTATTATTTCAAGATATTTTTGTGTAAATTTGGTAAATATATTTATTAAAATGAGATGTTAGTGTTATTTTCATTTTTGAATAATTTAGATGAGAATTTATCCATTGCACCCTGTATACCACATAATTTGTGAAATAAAGACTAACCTCAAAATCTTAGATGAAATGAGATTAGCTGTTATCATTTTATCTGTGGTTTGAAATTCTGAAATGATTCATTGTGACTAGTTCTTTGATTTGTATCCTTTTGCTTGATATTCTGTTCAGCTGATATATTGTGACAAAAACAATAAAGATGAAGGTAGTTGTCTAAAAAACTTGTAGATTAATGGCAATTGCTAAGTCTGCTTGGTTACTTTTGATGTTATTTATTTGTAAGTGTGATGAGCAACTGTTAAAATAAACTGACAAATGATTCACTAGCCAACTCTGTGTTCCTTCTCCCTTTAGAAATATGAGCTTCTATTCAGCTCTATCTGCATGTTTGTTTAGTGGCATATCAACTCCTTATGAGTCACTTAATATCAAAATTTAATTTTCTTTGAAGCATTAGTAATTTCTATTACAAAAATGTATTGCTGGTAATTTTTTTATCATGAAAATTTATTGCTGATATTTTCATGATAAAAATGTTTACACTTTCATAGTGTTTTGACCCAAGATTGGGAGTTCACTATTTACCCACAGCTGGGACCCTAACAAGTGCCACCTGGGAACAACAGCAATTAAGAGGTTGTTGCATGGTCCTCAAAACCTCCCAACACAAGGCCTTGCTGCTGGATGTAGTTTATTGTCATACCCAGCACAATATACTGAACCCATTCCAATCAGCAGGTGTGATACATAAGTCTAACAATAATAAACAAAGGTGTAAAAGCATTGGTTCCTAGTTTCTGGCAAACTGGAAATTGTGAGTTCATTCTTTCTGTTGGATAGTACATATATATCTAACAACAATAATGGTTACTTAATCTCTATTATCAATAGAGAGTCACTCATTTTATGCTAATAAAAAGCTATTTATATTCATATTTTATTACAATTATTTCAACAACAATCCAGTCATTGGATCTTATTTTTAGGATTATTATCAAATTATTGTGCCACACTGTCAGATGGAGTCACCCTTTAATTTGCCGACACCTGTCATAAATATTTTTACCCATGATGTATTATGGCAACATTTACTTAGCTTGAAGTAAACTTATTGCAAATTCTGTAAATAAACTAGAATAGCAAACTTTTGTCTGTCAATAAAATATTCTTTAAGAAATACCACTATTTTACTATTTATTGCAAACCAAATTCACACATATTTCAACACAATCATAATAAAATCAGATTTTTTTCTAACAGCATTAAGACCATAAAACAATCAAAATAAATTTGAGTTTATCATATTGATATCATTTCATTTTATGGAACTATTTGAAAGTTATAACATCTAGAAAATTAAAATCACTGCTTTATAAAAATTTCTAAGATTTAAACATTTTCAACTTAAATCAAACATTATCTACTTGAAACACTGTTATAATGTAAGCTCATAGTTCTGGATAATAATATTTGAAGGAAAACACTGGAACAAAAGATTAGTGAAGAAACTGTTTAATCACATGGATTAACAATACAATAACAAATATTGTAGTTAGTGTTGTAATGCATGCAACACACTTTACAACACCTATGAGCAAACTTTCCATTTATAGTCAATGGATGAGTTTATGTTCAACAATTTGTGCAAAGAACATTGGTTGTTTTTCTATGCAAAACCTCCTTTTTTAAAATATGCATTCTCATTTGAATACATATTTTCTCCTTTTGGGGTTCACTTCCAACATTTTCCTCGGATTTATTTTTTCTTTTACTAACACAGTGTGTTCAAGTATTTATAATTATAGTTGACAAGTGAAAAATATTGTACAGAACTTCCATAGGTGAATCTTTTTATTGTTTGTTTATTTCATTGACATATCTTAGTTTTAATTGATTTAAATGCCTTTTATTTCACCATTTTTTGAATTTGTACCATATACATCAACCTGTTAGTGCAATTTAATATTTCACAATCATCCAAAATTTCCTTCCCTGCCTTGTAAGTCCTCAAGAAAACTTGGTTTTCCAGATTTGAAAGATTTTATAGTTAATTGTGTACTATGACAAATTTTCTTTTTCTTTCAATTAGTAAATTGTCAAACACTGATTTACCTCAAGGACACATGGCACAGTGGATAAAGGTGTTGGTTAGATCCAGTGACAGGACTGGATGGTCTCCTTGTTTAAGTTGGTGAATGCTGCCATAATCCTTGCCTTCAGTTCATCTTTGGTATTACAAGGAGTTTTGTTGATCTCTCACTCAACTGTGCACTACATATAATAATCAAGGGGGTTGCAGTCTGGGGAGTTAGGTGGCCAGATATAAGGGGTGATATGGTTGCAGATATTGTCTGACAGCCATGCCTGGGTTCTCCTGATTGTGTGGCATGGTGCGGAGTCCTGTTGCCAGACATAGGGTCTTCCATCAGCCACCCACTTCACCCAAGGCAGCATTAATTCCTCAAGGCACTTGATATAGGCCTCCAGTTGAGTCTGAGGCCCTTATAGAAAATGAATAGAGGCATAACATTGCCATCATTAGTGATCACTCCAAATATCTTCATAATCACCATTGGACTCATTCAATTCTTTCCAAATCCTTTCTACTGTTTTTGGGTTGACACCCAAACACTCTGAAATGTTTGTATTGAAGCTTCTGGCATGAATGCCAATCAGTACAGCATGCCATTTCCAAATTTCTGGGGGAGTGATTTGCATCATGGTGCTCTTTTTCTCACAGACAGTGCCCAACTAACCCTATTATACTGTGCAGTTGACAAAATCAAAAGCAAATAACATACGTGCGTGAAATTAGAAATATAAAATGGCTACAGTTTACCCATTGCCCTCCGTGCATAACTTCTCATAAGCGATTTAACTCTTGACATTCAGAATTTCCAACATGAAACTGCTTTAAAATTCTTTTTTGCAAGGAAGCAGGAATTACTACTTTTTCAGTCTACATAAGTACTTCATCACAGATGCGAAAAAACTTATTATTTTTACTAACACCTTGTTTATTTGTTCTTTCTTTCTATCTCACTTTTATATCAATCATCATTTTTAAAATGTAGTCATCCTTCTTTGATTGCATTTTAATTTCATCCAAAGTCATAGGTAATTCTCTTAATGTGTTACACAAAACAATTTTTATCTCATTTTCAATCACTGTCCCCTCAAAATGTTGCTTGAATTTGGGGATTAATCTGGACAAATCATCTGCATGTCCCAATTTCTTTGATAGTAAATACTCCATTTTTAAATCATAGTTTAGTAAAATTGATCCACAACATTGCACCCTGTTGGCAGTATGTGTTGGAGTACCTTTTTTAGAACCAAAAATAG